CTGTCTCTTCATCCTTGAGTGACAAAGAAACCAGCCTGCTTCAAAAAGTTATATTATTTTACATTTAGAAACAAATAAGTGTCTTTAAAAATATTTTAATAAAAATTTAAACTTGGGGGCAGATGTTGCCTTGAAATCTGGGGAGTGTGAAGTGTTTCTTGAGGGACGGGGAAGGAATTTTGTCCTCTGGTAATGAAGTGTCTGACAAAGGCTTTCATTGATTCAGTGCATTTTTATTAAGTGCCTGATTTGTACAAGGCTGAGAATGCTGTGATGAGCAAGGAGCACACAATCTAGGGGGGGGCCACAGACATAACTTGGCAGTCTTGCTACCGGGTGCTCAGTTTCATGATTGGGTGCTGTTGGGACAGAAAGCAGGCTTCTTACCTGGTCTTTGGTGATCAGAGGTGGTTTCCTGGAGGAAATGGTGTCCAAACCAACCTCACTAATACATGTTGGGATTAATTCTTTTTTTCAGGCTAATATTGTATTCAAAAGAAATCAGAACCTGGTTTTTGTTTTTGTTTTGGGAACACTCAATACCTTTCTGTTGAGAATGAGTTGAGAAACTGAACTTCATACTCCAGCCATCTGGTATATTTTTCCAGGCTTGTAGTTGATCATTCTCCAGTGTTGATTAACCTCTGCTTCCCAGAACCTTCCAGGCTCTCTGTGACTGCCATACCTTTGCGTACGCATTCCTTGTGTCTGGAAAGCCGTCCCTTTTTGTCTGCCCAACTGCCTTCTCTTCCTCCTTCAGGACAGACAGTCACTTCCTCCAGGATGCCTTCCTTGAGTGCTAAGAGGGTAGGTTGGGACAGGGCCGGGCTTGATCTGCGTACTTCCCCTGCACCAAATAGTCTGTCTGATTCTTCATTCCTCTGTGTAGCCTGGAGGCAGAGGCAGCATCTTTCACAGAGCCCAGCATGTCCTGGGCACCCAGGCAGTGTTTGTTGAACAAGCAAATTCCGAAGCTTTTGAAGATTGTAGCCACATGTATATAATTGAAGCTCTTGGTTCCAGCTGGTTTTAAGAGAGTGTTATTGACTCAAAGTAGAAGCACCAGTGAAACAGACTTTATGCATGTGGTCTAGTTATTAGCCTCATAAAACTCTTTACAGTCTTTTGCATTTTATACGTCTTTACTTTTATTTTTTGCCCGAGTAACCCATAAACTGAGTAATTCATAGTTTTCACTTCTTGCCAACTACTGATGTATATTATTAAATCTGACCACAGTGTTTTATTATAATAGAAGTCTTTTGGTTATTAACAAAAATCAATTTGATTTAGCATATGTCAGAAAGAGGGGCTTATGTGATGAAGAGAAAGGGCTGTCTCATAGAATCCCAGATGAGAAACACAGCTAGGCTTCAGGAAGAACTGGTCCCAAGAATTACAAGGCCAGCAGGAATCCTGACTGTCCTTTTTGTTTATCTCTGCTGCTCAGTGGATAGAGGATGGCTTCCTATAACCCTCAGCATGGCAGGCCAGTTCCAGCCATACGGAGAACCTGTCTTTACATCTCAATTCCAAATTCCCCAAGACTCTGGCATAGCTTTTGTTAGATGCCTATCTCTGAGCCATCAGCTATGGCCAGGGAGTGGGGGTCAGGCTGAACAAGCTCTGTCTGCTTCTGCTCACCCCTGAGGAGTAGGTGGGAAGGAAGAAGAAAGGGAGGGGGAGGACAGTAGACAGATCATATGAGGTGGGCAGACTCTCCAAAAATATCTAATACAGGGATAAAGACCAGGGATATGCAAACAGTTGACTATAGAATCATTTCTAGGTACTTTTGGCTAAACATTTTTCAATCTTAGAAACTTAAAGATTACTTTGGAAAGATATTTATCTTTTTGAATATGAATATAATTTGAGATTCTTAAGGTAATGGCATATTCACTGAAGTAATTAGTTTTAGCTTTGTGTATATGTACAGTACTTCTTATACATGATACTGTCTTCAATTGCTGGGAGACAAGTTCTAGAGTAGCTCTAATAGAAATAAAAGGTTAGATTGGAATGTATTTGAAGTTTTCTAGTAGCCATGTTAAAAATGTAAAATAAAACAGGTGAAATTAATTTTAACAGTATGTTTTATTTAGCTCAGTATATCCCAAATATTATAATTTCATGAACATAAAGATTAATAATAAAGTATTTTCTATTTTAAAAAAAATCTTTGAAATCTGGTATGTATTTTGTATTACAGTTCATCTCAGTTGGGACTGGCCACTTTTCAGGTGGTCAGCCACTACATGTAAGCTAGTGGTTACCATATTGGACAGCACAGTTCTAGAAATAGCTAAAGTAATCCATTTTCTTTCATAGTTTCTCTGAAATTTTCTTGTCAAAAGCATTGGTGCTTATGGATTGTTTTTTTTTTTAAAGTATGCTTCAGCAGCAACAGCAGAGAACCCTGGGAGGTAGGGGTTTTTAAACTAGCCCTTGAAAGAGTTGCCCATTTGGAGGATTTGCTATGTGCCATGTGTGTTGGCAGAAAAGAACAAAATTTTTAAACCAGTTACCAGGCTGTAAAGCTGATTCTTGTTCTTCTGCTGATTCCTGGAATGTTACTTAAACTCCTTGGAAGCCTCAGTTTGCTTATCTATTGAAATAGGGTTTATAACTGTCCTGCTCATTAGAAGAGGTTCTCATGTGCTAATAAATTTGAAAGTGCTTTGAAAAACTTTTAAAGGGTTACATAGATGTAAAGCATTATTTTAATTTATTAACTGGGAAAAAAGCAATGCATTTTGGAATCAATAGTAGCTCATTTATTGAGGTTTTACTTTGTGCCAGGCACTGTTCTAAGTGCCTTATACATATTACATAACTTAATAACCACACCTTTTGAAACAGGTACTGTTTTTATCATCTCTGTCTTATGTACGAGAAAACTAAAAGAAGGTTAAACGATCCCTAGGTTATATAGCTAGTAACTAGTTGAATTGGAATTGGAATGCACTTTTTTCTCTAAATTGTGGCAAAACGCACACAACATAAGATTTATCATTTTAGCCATTTCTAAGTGTTTACTTCTGTAGTATTAAGTAAATACATTCACATTGTTTTTTTAAAAAAAATTAATTTATTTATTTTTGGCTGTGTTGGGTCTTCGCTGCTGCACGTGGGCTTTTCTCTAGTTGGGGCGAGCGGGGGCCACTCTTCATTGCGGTGCGCGGGCTTATCATTGCAGTGGCTTCTCTTGTTGCGGAGCACAGGCTCTAGGCGTGCGGGCTTCAGTAGTTGTGGGGCACGGGCTTAGTTGCTCCGCGGCATGTGGGATCTTCCCGGACCAGGGCTCGAACCCGTGTCCCCTGCATTGGCAGGCGAATTCTTAACCACTGCGCCACCAGGGAAGTCCTACATTCACATTGCTGTTTAACTATCTCCATCGTCCATCTCCAGAACTTTTTCATCTTCCCCAACTGAAACTCCATACTCATCACATACTAACTTGCCATCCCTCCCCCATCCCCCCACCTCCCTGTTCCCAACCACACCAATAACAACCACCATTCTACTTTGTCTCTGTGGATTTGACGTGGACTCATACAATATTTGTCTTTTTGCAACTGGCTTATTTCACTTAGCATAATGTCTTCAAGGTTCATCCATGTTGTAGCGTGTGTCAGAACTTTTTCTTTTTAAGGCTGAGTAATATTCCATTGTATGTATGTACCACATTTTGTGCCATCATTCATCTGTTGATGGACACTGGTTGCTTCCACCTTTTGGCTATTGCGAGTAATGCTGCCGTGAATGTGGGTGTACAAATATCAGTCCTTTTGGGTATATGTATACCCAGAAGTGGAATTGCTGGATCATATGATAATTCTCTTTTTGATATTTTGAAAAGTTGCCATACTGTTTTTCATAGCACTTGCTCCTTTTTACACACCCATCAGCAATGCACGAGGGTCCCAGTTTCTCTACATCCCCTCCAACACTTTTTTTCCTTTTCCCTTCCCTCCCCTCCTCTCCCTTCCCCTCCGGTTCTTTTTTTTAATAATACCATCCTAATGGTGTGAAGTAGTATTCACTGTGGTTTTAATTCACATTTCCCTAATGACTAGTGATGTTGAACATCTTTTCATATACCTGTTGGCCGTTTTTATGTCTTTGGAGAAATGTCTATCTGAATCCTTTGCAGATTTTTAAACTGGGTTGTTCGGGTTTTTTTGTTGTTGTTGAGTCAGAGTTTTTAAAAAATATATCCTGGATATTAGTGCCTTATCAGGTATGTGATTTGCAAACATTTTCTCCCATTCTGTTGGGTTGACTTTTCACTCTCTTGGTAGTATCCCTTGATGTGCAAAAGTTTTTAATTTTGGTTAAGTCCAATTTATTTATGTTTTCTTTTGATGCCTGTATTTTTGGTGTCATATGTAAGAAATTACTGCTGGATCCACTGTCCTGTAGCTTCCCCAGTTTTTAAATCTAAGAGTTTTATGTCTTTCTCTCCTGTCTCTGTGTCAATTTGCATTGGCTTCTGTTTTTCTGTATATTTATAAATTATTGAAGCTTATGTCTGTGTTTTCTCTCTTTTCTTGCCTTGTTTCTTTTTTGTTGTTGTTGAACCATTTGAAAGTATTATAGAAAAATAATGGCATTTTTCTAAATAACTATAATCCTGTGATCAGTACTTCCTTGGAAATGGGCACATGAGGCCCCTGCCTTGTGCTCTGTGTTTGAGAATACCTTTCTCGAATTTTTCTAAGTCCCACCAGCCCCACCTCTCCTCCCTGCCTCAATACCTAAAAGGCAAGGCGCCCCAAGTGCTTTTCTTTAGGAGTCTCATGTTGAGAATTATAGTAAATTTTCTAATTACATTGAGAATAGAAGCTTTATTTAGCTGATATTATTGTTTACCACTGTACACCTTATTTTCCTTCTAAATTGTCTTTCTTGTCTTTATTTTTATGTATTCCTTTAACTGGTTAGTATGTACATAGTTAATGTTATAGTTATTAATTACCTTTTTTCTCATTTTCCAGTACCGAGTTGAAGCTCTTGGAGGAGGCAACCATTTCAGTCTGCAGGTCTTTAGGTAAGGAGGAAAAATGAATGTGTGTGTGTGTGTAATGTGTATATGTATGTATGTGTGTGGAGACAGTTATTTCAAAATTTCTGTTACAGATTTTGCTGGTGCAATGTGAACTGAATTAATGAAGTGATATATTTTTGTTGATGATAATTATAATTGTACTAATAATTATATTCTTGGTGTTTATTGATGCCTCTAGAGGTTCTCATTCAGTTAACAGCAATGAGACACATGCTTGGTTTATTTGCAGTAGTGGTAATGGACTCCACTAAGCCGTAGAGCTTATTCTTTTTACAAATTTTGAAAAACTGAGAAAAACCCAAAATATTCTTTGTTTTGTAGTTGCATGTATAGTTCCTAGAGAATATGGATCATTCATCCTTTGCTTTGCCAACTGCACGCACTATATATGCTGTTGCTGGATTTGTTAACTAGAATAATTATCACTCATTAATAGGAAAATATATTAGGAATCTTCTCAAATTAGTAATAACAACTTGATATTATGGTAAAGTGCATGGGCTCTGGAATTATTTTATGGTCTTAATTATAGCTCTGTTACTTACTAGCTGAGCTTTAATTTCCTCATCTAAATTGCAGGATTCTCATGGGAAGAAGAGATGCCTAGCATCTCGTCATTATTCATTATTTATGTCAACAAATGTTACCTTTTTTTGGACTTCATTTCTCAAATACTTTGCTTTCAAATTGGTAGCAACTGGAAAGAAATGTATGCTTTAAAAAATGTGAATGATTATACTTACATTTCATTGTTGCTTTGAAAATTAGAGATAACGTATCTGTGAAACGACTGGTGGACCGGAGCTTAATAAGTGATGACGAGCTTGTTTTTAAATCAAGCTTATGGATGTGCTCCATGTAAGCTATGTGGCTAACTCCCATATAAGTTACTCTGCCAAAAACAGTCTTTGATGAAATATTTTTGCTTTTAAAAACAAATTATGTTGGTAATGATAGAGGTGGTATTATAATAGTTGCCTTGAATTTTGTCTGCAGTTATAACCATAGATTTGAGGATTTTGTGCTAAACAGAGCTGACTATCAAAAACCTATATGACAGTTTGCTGAAAATTAATTTTATGTAACAGTGATATTAATGCAGTTATTATGATGATGGTTTTTAATGTGACCTTGGGGTTTTACAAAAATAACATTTTAAAATTGGGAGTAATAGTTACTTATTAATACAATGTGGAAAGCATACTAAAGTGTAAAAAAGGCAGTAATTGCTCATATTCCACAACCCTGACATAGCTATTGGTAATATTTTGCCTTCTGTTATTTATTCTTTGGATATACATTTACATGCATATTAAATACACATACTCAATTATTTTAATCTGTGTTTTTCACTTGATATTATGTATCTAAGTGTGTCATTCTATATTTAAAACTACTTTGGAGAATAGCAAATATGTGTGTATGTATATATATATATTTAATTCCCCAAATTCTAACAATATAGTGGTATAGTTAAAATTAAAGTCTTCCCATATTAAACAGTGCAGGAAATCATTGCTAATCTTTTGTGATAAGATCAAAATTTTATCAGTAATTCTGTGTGTATTGACTTATATGCACAATTTTATGTAAGTGGTATTATTTCTATGCTTTCACTTAGCAGTATTCAGGAACTTCTTTCCACGTTAATAGATATAAATGTATATCAATTTTAAGGGCTATGTGGGTATGTAACAATTCTCTCTTTTTTTTATTTTTTTGGTCTGAAAATGTTTTCATTTTTCCTTTGCTTTTGGAGGATATATTTGCTGGGTGTAGAATTCTAGGTTGGCATTAATTTCTTTCCATACTTTAAATATACCATTCTGTTATTTTTCTGGTTACTCTCATTTTTGTTGAGATTAAAACTGTCAAAAAAAAAAAAAGCTGTCAGTGTTAATGTTGTTCCTTTGAAAACAATGGAGTTTTTTTCTTCTGGATGCTTTTAAGTTTTTCTTTTCTTTTTTTTTTTTTTTAAAGAAGATGTTGGGGGTAGGAGTTTATTTATTTATTTTTGCTGTGTTGGGTCTTCGTTTCTGTGCAAGGCCTTTCTCTAGTTGTGGCAAGCGGGGGCCACTCTTCATCGCGGTGCGCGGGCCTCTCACTATCGCAGCCTCTCCTGTTGCAGAGCACAGGCTCCAGATGCGCAGGCTCAGTAGTTGTGGCTCACGCGCCCAGCCGCTCCACGGCATGTGGGATCTTCCCGGACCAGGGCTCGAACCCATGTCCCCTGCATTAGCAGGCAGATTCTCAACCACTGCGCCACCAGGGAAGCCCTAAGTTTTTCTTTTTTGTCCTTTGGTTTTCAACATCTTAGAATATGCTGAGGAGTATTTTTCCTTCCTTCTCTCCTTCCTTCCTTTTTTCTCTCCTTCCTCCCTCCCTCCCTGCTTGAGGTTTGTAGAGCTTGTTAAATCTGTGGGTTGATGTCTTTCATCAGTTTTGGAAAATTGTCAGTCATTATCGATTTATACATTGTTTCTGTCCTATTCTGTCTCTTCTCTCCTTCTAGGATCTCTGTTATATTTGTGTTAACATTTTCATTGTGTTGCATAGGCTTGTTAGGCTCGCTCGCTCTCTTTTTTTTTTTTTTTTTTTTTTTTTTGTATTTTATTTTCTTTTTTACTTTCTCTCTGACCTTCCGTAGGATATTTTTTTATTAATCTGTCTTTAGTTTACTAATCTTTTTTCTGGTAAACACATCTATTGAGATTTTTAAGATAAAATTTTAATTTTAGAATAGCTTTAGATTTATAGAAAAGTTGCAAAGCTATGTAGAGAGTTCCCATATAACCCTCTTTAGTTTCCTCTGTTGTCAACATCTTACATTAATATGGTACATTTGTTACACTAAGGAATCAACAGTGGTACATTACTATTAACTAAACTTGTCCCTTTATTCAGATTTCACTAGTTTTCCCAAATGTCCTTTTGGACTTTTTTCTGTTCCAGGATACTACATTACGTTTAGTCATTAAGTCTCCTTAACCTCCTCTTGTTTCAGATTTTCCTCAATTTTAATGACTTTAAGAGTTTTGAGGAATACTGGTAGAGTATTTCTAGAATGTCCCTCAGTTCGTTTGATGTTATTCTCATGGCTGGGTGGGGGTTATGGATTTGTAGGTGGAAGATCACAGAGGTGACATGCTGTTCTCAACACATCATATCAGGGATACATGCTATTAACATGAGTTTCACTGATGATATTGACCTTGATTATGTGGCCAGGGTTGTTTTTGTCCATTTTCTCCACTGTAAAGTTGTGCCCCTGCCCTGCTGTTGCCTTCATTTTGAAGGAGAGTTTTTCTGGATACAGAATTCTTGGTTGGCATTTATTTTTTCATATCCCTTTGACTATATCATTCTGTTGCCTTCTGATAAGTCATTTTTTTGTTACTGCTGTCAAGATTTTGTCCTTGCCTTTACAAAATTTTAAAATTTATTCTTTATTCTGCTTGGGGTTTGTTGATGTTCTTGGATACGTAGATTGATGTTTTTCATCATTTTGGGGATGTTTGTGGCCATTATATTTGTTGGGCTTTTTATATTTATTACTTTTTTCTATGAATCTGCACATGGGGTTCTCTGGGTCCAAACAGATTTCTTATTAAATATCTCACAGTGAATTTTAAGTGCATTTCCCCCACTTTTTCCTAGTTCTTACCTGCTAGGATAGTGCTATGAGAGCCAGGTCAGTTGTTTTATGTGAGGAGGTGAGGTTTGCTCTGTGTTTGGCTTGTTTAATTCTTACCAGTTTTTTTCTGGGACTTGTCGCCTCTGAATCTGTATAGCAAGGTATTGGGTGGATGATTAACGTAAGGTTTCTGGTTGGAGTAGACAAAAGTACTTTCAGGCAGTTAGGCTTGTGAATGATCCATTGATTACCAAATAAAATTTTAGTCCAGTTCTATAAAATTTGTAGTTAGTTAAAGTGTTTCCTGTTTTTAGGGGAAAAGGACTATCCTTACTCAGCCTTTTCATGAGCTTGTATCTTTTTGTATTTTTTCATGGGTATTTTATTTTTAATTCTTTAAAAAATTTCCCACTCATACAGAGGCAGACAGAATAATGACCTCCTGTATGCTCATCTCCCAGTTTCAATCATTTTCAACTCATGGCCAGTCTTGTTTCATCTGTATCTCTCACCTATTTATTGACATATGGATATGTACAGAAAAGTGCACAAGTAAAAAGTGTATACAAAAGAAAAAGCGTATCCTCACATAATTAATTTGACACAAACCTCTGGCATTATATTATTTCATCCATAGATATTGTGATGTGTATCTCATAATAACAATTTTTTAATGGAAAAAATACCATTATCTACTAAAAACAATTTTTAATATCGCAAAACATCCACTGACTGTTCAAATTTCTAATTGTCTCAGTTTGTTTCAATCAGGAGACAAATAAGTCCATACATTATTATTGGTTAATATGTCTTTACATTCTTTTCAGCGCAGGTTCCTCCTGAATTTGTCTTGCCTTGTTTCCCATCTCAATTTTCTTATTGAAGAAAGTGGGTAGTAGAGTTTCCCACAATGTAGATTTTGTCGATTGCATCCTTATGGATTGTTAGCATGTCTCTGTCTTTTATATTTATGGTATATTGGTTATTGGATCTTGGAGATCGTGGGTATTTTAGTGAGATACTGGGAAAGGTTGTTTCAGGGGCTGGAAGCAAGGTCAACCTCTCACCCCAGGTGGAAGTCCTCTTTATAATACCCTTGTCTGAGTATTACCTGGAATTTGCTTGAACTCCTGTGGAGATGGAGAATTCCTTTTGCACAAAGCCAGTTCAGTTAACAGATTGCTTCAAGTTCAAGCTCTAGAGTTAAATGAGTTAGTTTTCCATTACTGAAGTATTATCATTACTTGAATTTTTACAGATGAAGAAACTGAGGCATGGGGAGGTTAAGTAAGTTGCCAGGTGTCACACAGCTAGTCAGTGCTGGAGCTGGGCTTTGAACGTAGTCACGTTCTGTAGTCCAGTTCCACGTGCTTTTCTGCCTTCCTGTCAGACATCCCCTGTTCCTACTCTGGTCCTGAAGCACTTTCAACTTCAATGTAGCATTTGATTTTTGCCAATTAAGTTTGATCCTGTTAAATTCCACTGAGGTATTTTGGAATATTGAGTCTACCATTGAATATTGTTTTTGAAACATCATTAAGTGTACTTAATTTTATAAATTTATTATCCCATCTACATCTTGTCCAAAAGAGTACTTTGGAAACTTAGAATGTCATCCACATTAAGAGAGGGAGTTCCGTTTGTAAGTATCTTCTTAGTACCTGACACAGTGCTGGGCACATGTAAGTAGCTCCATGAAGACATGCTGAATGAACGAAAAGGGTACACAAAACTTTAATTACATCAGTCTAGTGGTCTTGGTTGTTCTTTCTAATAACACAGGGATTTTTGTTTGATATTTTAATGGCTAACCATAAAATTCAAGTGATTACTTATAAAGCCATTCAATAATGAAGGGGCTGTTGAATGAACACGAGATGGTGAAGTTGAGATTCGGAAATATGGTTGAAGTCCTGTCAGCCTCAGCATTTTGTTTCAGTATTTTGTTTTGATTTACAATAGCTATGAAATATTAATTCATACAGAGACACACTTGCACACATTAACTGGGTTTTTTTTGTTTAGTTTGGTTTTTTTTGGCTGTGTCGCGTCTTAGTTGTGGCACACGGGACCTTTGTTGAGGCATGCGGGATCTGTCATTGCAGTGTGCGGGCTTCTCTCCAGCTGTGGCCTGCGGGTTTTCTCTCTCTAGTTGTGGCGCGTGGGCATGGTTGCCCCACGGCATGTGGGAACTTAGTTCCCCGACCCGGGGTTGAATCCATATCCCCTGCATTGGAAAGAGGATTCTTTACCACTGGACCACCAGGGAAGTCCCCTACATTAACTGGTTTTTAAAAAGCTGTTTGTCTTGAAATCTCAGGATAGTCTTTCATTAAGCTAAACCCAAAGCTTAAAAGTAGGCAATTTTTGATTCAGAGTGAAACTCTAACAATATCTAATCACGTGTCTATTCTGAATTATGGAATCTGGACAAAAACCTGCCCTAACTTAAAACACAGGTTGCCCCTTGCTACTCACAGTGGGGCTCTCCACCCAGCAGCAATGGGCATCACCTGGGAGACTGTCACAGCTGCAGAATATCAGGACTCACTTCACACATGCAGAATCAGAATTTAAACTTTAATGAGAATGCCAAGTGATTTAAATGCACATTAAACGTTGAGAAGCGCTGTCAACTTCAGTAGTGTAGGGTGGCCATGGGATTCTGTACTTCCAGCAAGCTCCCAGGTAATGCTGTTGCTGCTGAACCACACTTGGATTAGCAAGGTGCTATACATTTTATCACAATGAGAAGATTATACAGTTACTTGCATCTACTCTCAAGCTGTGACAAGAACACATACCCAGCAGATAGACCTGGGTTAATTGGACAGTTACTGAGCGCTAAGCAGGTGGGCTGTAATGGTGTACTTATTCCTATGTATATCTTTTCTTTACAGTTTTGGATTCTGAGATGAGGTGGCTGTTTTCTCCTACAGTTTCTATTATTTCCATTTGTAAATCATGTTTCGTTGTTTAGAATTAAGACCAAGCAGCAATCTCTCTCTTTGCTAATTTTCCCAATTAGATTTGAAATTGACAGTAAGGTTCATCCCTGAACAACTTCAATCTGACATTTGGCTTTATAAATGTTATGATATGCTCATTTTGATTTCGGTTCTTAACTTTAACTTTTAAAAACCTTTTCTTCTCTTGCAGTTGAAAACAATCCTCGAACAGGAAACCTTGGTGCACTAATTAAGGTCTTCCTGTCTAGAACCAAAGAACTAAAACTTTCAGCAGAATGTCAGAAGTAAGCTGGATGATTAAATCACACTCTCTCTATATTTAATTTATATTTAACAGTATAATTTTTCATTTATTTGTAGAAATAGGGTATGGCCTTGGAATTGTTCTCATTATTAAGGCAAAAAGTAAAAGAGGTTTTAATTTACTGTCCTGGTCATTGTAGTGAGATTATAAATTCTGGAATCCGATTTCAGCATTTTAGACAATCTTTAGAAATATATTCTTTAAGAGGATTAATTGTGTAATTATTATTAAAAAAAGGTAGTTTTCTCCCATTTCCACTGCTGGTTGTATCTAATTTAAATACAATAAGTCCCCTACATACGAACCTTTAGATTGCAAACTTTCAAAGATGCGAAAGTGTGCTTGCATGTCCAATCACGTAAGTTAGTTCACGTATCTGGCGAACATTGTCACATGTGTGCATGCTCTACAAGTGGTCGTGCTTTTGTGTACTTTACAGTACTGTATAGAGTACCGTAGTACAGTACCTTTATTTCAAGCCCAGGATGTCTGGAAGCAAGCGTAAAAGCAGTGGTGATGTAGCTGGTACTGCGAAGAAGTGCCAAGTGATAACGATGGAAACAAAAGTGAAAACAATTTTGAGAGTGGAGCAAGGCATGTGGAAAGTATTATAAACTTATTACAGTACAGTACTATTTAGCCGAGTTTGTTAGTTGGGTACCTAGCCTAGCTTTGGTTGGACTTACAAACAAATTGGACTTATGAACATGCAGTCAGAATGGAACTCGTTTGTATGTAGGGGACTTACTGTAATGACTTAGTGTATTATTTCATTCCACATTTGTTTCCTTTATTTCTTTCATATTAGGTGAACGAAGGTTTAGATTAGATATTATGGTTTTTTATTTATATAGTGGAAGATTCACCTTTTATCCACTCGAGCATTTTTTGAAACTATTTTTGGAGGGTAGTCTCTTAAAAGATTGCTCATTGCCCTGTTTCCAAATAATTTATATTGAATCCAATTAAAATTGTTGTGAGTCTATGATTATTAATACAAATACCAGGTATTGTACTGTGCAGCTGGTGATGCCCCATTTAAAATTTTGGTTGTGGGGACTTCCCTGGCGGTCCAGTGGTTAAGACTCCGAGCTTCCACTGCAGGGGGCATGGGTTCAATCGCTGGTCCGGGAATTAAGATCCCACATGCTGCAGGATGCAGCCAAAAAAAAAAAATTTTTTTTTGGTTGTGTATTTGCATATATTCTCTTTATGTTACTATAGTTTTTATGTTTTCTATTTTTAGTTTCCTTTTCTTTGAATTGCCTGTTTATGGGGCAGCTATAAAGTTAAGAACAAAGAGCAGTCATGCCTAAAGGAAAAAAAATGTAAAGTTGACTCACTATGTAAAATACACAGGATGAAATATGAGGTAAATTATAGTAGATATCGTTGGTCCAGTGTCATAAATCATGAGTCATAAAAAAAAGGTATGGACATTGTTCTAATATTACAAACAAAATGGGCAAAATGATTGAGAAATTTAAAGTTGACTTACTATGTAAAATACACAGGATGAAATATGAGGTAAATTATAGTAGATATCTATAATTCGAGTGTTGGTGCATTTAATGTTGTCCCAGAGGTCTCTGAGACTGTCCTCGATTCTTTTCATTCTTTTTCTTTATTCTGCTCTGCAGTAGTAATTTCCTGTTTTATTTTAGTTATTTAGTTATTTCCATTTTAATAACTTTATTTTATTTTTCTGTCTTTTCTTTTTTTCTCCCTTTCTGCAGTAGTTATTTCCTATTTTATTTTAGTTATTTCCTATTTTACTATTTTATCTTCCAGGTTACTTATGTGTTCTTCTACCTCAGTTATTCTGCTATTGATTCCTTTTAGAGAATTTTTAATTTCATTTATTGTGTTGTTCATCATTGCTTGTTTGCTCTTTAGTTCTTCTAGTTTCTTGTTAAACGTTTCTTGTATTTTCTCCATTCTATTTCCAGGATTTTGGATCATCCTTACTATCATTACTCTGAATTCTTTTTCAGGTAGACTGCTTGCTTCTTCTTCATTTGTTTGGTCTGGTGGGTTTTTACCTTGCTCCTTCATCTGCTGTGTGTTTCTTTGTCTTCTCATTTTGCTTAACTTACTGTGTTTGGCGTCTCCTTTTCACAGGCTGCAGGTTCATAGTTCCCTTTGTTTTTGGTGTCTGTCCCCAGTGGCTAAGGTTGGTTCAGTGGGTTGTGTAGGCTTCCTGGTGAAGGGGACTGGTGCCTGTGTTCTGATGGATGAGGCTGGATCTTGTCTTTCTGGTGGGTAGGACCATGTCCGATGGTGTGTTTTGGGGTGTCTGTGACCTTATTATGATTTTAGGCAGCCTCTCTGCTAGTGGGTGGGGTTGTGTTCCTGTCTTCCTAGTTGTTTGGCATAGGGTGTCCAGCATTGTAGCTTGCTGGTTGTTGAGTGGAGCTGGGTCTTAGCATTGAGATGGAGATCTCTGGGATAGCTTTTGCTGTTTGATGTTACATGGAGCCGGGAGGTCTCTTGTAGACCAGTGTCCTGAACTCAGCTCTCCCACCTCAGAGGCACAGGCCTGATACCCGGCCGGAGCGTGAAGACACTGTCAGCCGCATGGCTCAGCAGAAAAGGGAGAAAAAAAGAAAGACAGAAAAATAAAATAAAGTTATTAAAATGGAAAATTAAAAATGATTAAAAATAGAAAAATTAAAAAGTAATTAAAAAAAACAAGAGAGCAACGAAACCAAAAAACAATGATAACAAGTGCTAAAAAGTATACAAAAAAAAAATGGACAAACAGAACCCTAAGACAGATGGTAAAAGCAAAGGTATACAGACACAGTCACACAAAGAAGCATACACATACACACTCACAAAAAGCAAAAAGTAAAAAAATATATCTATATATTAAAAAAAAGTAAGAGAGCAACCAAATCAATGAACAAATCTACCAGTAATAATAAGCTCTAATTACTAAACTAAGATAAACATAAAACCAGAAACAAATTAGATGCAGAAAGCAAACCCCAAGTCTGCAGTTGCTCCCAAAGTCCACCGTCTCACTTTTGGGATGATTCGTTGTCTATTCAGGTGTTCCACAGATGCAGGGTACGTCATGTTGATCGTGGAGATTTAATCCACTGCTCCTGAGGCTGCTGGGAGAGATTTCCCTTTCTCTTCTTTATTTGCACAGCTCCCAGGGGCTCAGCTTTGCATTTGGCCCCACCTCTGCGTTTAGGTCGCCTGAGGGCGTCTGTTCCCACCCAGACAGGACGGGGTTAAAGGAGCCGCTGATTAGGGGGCTCTTGCTCACTCAGTCCAGGGGAGGGAGGGGTACGGAATGAGGGGTGAGCCTGCGGCAGCAGAGGCCAGCATGACGTTGCAATAGCCTGAGGTGCGCTGTGTGTTCTCCTGGGGAAGTTGTCCCTGGGTCACGTTCTCTTCCGTGGCTCCAAAGCTCCCCCCCCCCAGCACCCCCGTCTCCACCCGCGAAGGGGCTTCCTAGTGTGTGGAAGCTTTTCCTCCTTCACAGCTCCCTCCCAGGGGTGCAGGTCCCGTCCCTATTCTTTGTCTCTGTTTTTTCTTCTGCCCTACCCAGGTACGTGGGGAGTTTCTTGCCTTTTGGGAGGTCTGAGGTCTTCTGCCAGCGTTCGGTATGTGTTCTGTAGGAGTTGTTCCACATGTGGATGTATTTCTGATGTATTTGTGGGGAGGAAGGTGATCTCCACGTCTTACTCCTCTGCCATCTTGAAGGTCTCCCTCAGAGTTTCTTGATGTTTCCTGCTAAGAAACAGGAAAAGAAACTTCGATTGAATTAGGTCACAAGTTTTTAACTGACAGAAAGAAGTGATTGTAAAATTTTTTTTTTGAATTTTTGATGCTTGTCTCTGCTTTTATATTTTTATTCTCTTTGGCACACTTTATATACAATTTTATTAGAACTTTTCAAGTTGAAACAACCTGCTCTGTCATTGAGGTGGGCCTGGGATAACTCCTAAACTGTTTTCTAAACTGTCTCTAATTCTTTCATCATATGCTTTCTTGAATGGCGACCAAAATAGTGTACTAGGCCTTTTATTAAGGGAATAAATAATTCGAGACTTTTTTTGGCATCTTATTTTCTCAGATTGCGGGACCAAAAGAAGTTCAGCTTTTACATCTTGAGTAAAAACCTTTATTTCCCTGTGTTTTATTTATACCTTTCTACACAGAATTATTTTAGAAGGTGCTTGAGTTTGCCCAGGGTTGATTGTTCCCTTAAACTAAAAGCTTAAGTGGGGGAAAACATAACTAACATTGTTTGAAGCATTAAAATAAGGGAGAAAGTAAGTTTTGCTCCAAGTATACCTTTCTTTCCTTTTCTCACTGTGTTGGTTGGAATCTGAATTTTTAAGTCATTTTTTTCTGTTGCTTTCTTGAGAAAATAAATGCAGGATGATCTTGCATGATAGTTGCTGAAATTTTTACGTTTTAATAGTTACAGTTTCTTCCATTTTGGAAGTTGAATGACAGCCTATAGGATTGTCTGTGAATCACATGAATATAAATACTTTTTGGTTCTGCTTGGTGCATTAAAAATTGCTATAATAAATTTATATGCAGTTTTTATCCTTTAACTTTTTCCTTTGAATAGCCTCTTTTAAAACATTAACGTTTCCACAGTTTAACCACTGAATGGGCTGATTCTTGTTGGTTTTGTGAATGATTTCCATAATTCTCTCTTTGCTAAGGTAAGGGGGAAAATGTCTTTAGAAGTGCTTCTGTGCTTTTCTGCATGGTTACGTGTTGATTTTACTCATGTTGTGTCTTAAACTGACAAACATAATTTGTTAGAGAATGTATGTTGTGGGCTGAAAATGACACTATTAATATAAAATGTCAATTTTGAAATCATTTTATGGTGGAATTTTCAGTGAAAAAGACTTAAGAATTGGGCTTCCCTGGTGGTGCAGTGGTTAAGAATCTGCCCGCCAATGCAGGGGACACGGGTTCGAGCCCTTGTCCGGGAAGATCCCA